CAATTCTCCTGCCCCAGCCTCCTGAGTAGCTAGGATTACAGGCATGAGCCACCACACCCAGCTAATTTTTTTGTATTTTTAGTAGAGATGGGGTTTCACCGTGTTGGCCAGGCTGATCTTGAACTCCTGACCTCAGATGATCCACCCACCTCAGCATCCCAAACTGCTGGGATTACAGGCGTTAGCCACCACACCTGGCCTGGAATTTTTTTTTTTTTTTTTTTTTTTTTTTAAGAGATTGGATCTCACTGTCTCACCCAGTCTGGAGTGCAGTGGTGCAAACATGGCTCACTGCAGCCTTCACCTCCTGGGCTCAAGTAATCCTCTCCCCTCAGCCTCCCAAGGTGCTGAGACTACAGGTGTGTGCCATCACATCTGGCTAATTTTTTATTTTTAGTAGAGATGAGGTCTCACTATGTTGCCTACACTGGTTTTGAACTCCTGGGCCTATGCAATCCTCCTGATTCAACCTCCCAAAGTGTGATTATTGGCATGAGCCACCATGCCTGGCCTCAGTAGATTTTTTTTTAAGGAAAAGAGAAGCACCTTTAATTGACTAATATTTGCCTTTCAATGCCTACAAAAACAGTAAAAAAAATCTGTTTCTCCCCTACTCCTTACATACTTGTAAGAAAGTTCCACTTATTTATTTACTTACTTATTTTTCTAATCTCAGCTGTGAATTAAACCCTAGCAAAGTAATTTTTCAGACAAGTTTAGGACTTTGCCTGCAAATCAGGAACTCTAAATACAAAGAAAACATGCATTTTAAACCTTTAGACTTCACAGGTCTAGCCAGAGTTCCCTTCTAAAATTCTTAGTGTAAATGATACTAGTAAATGGTATTAGCAAGAAGGCGTAGGAGAATATGGCTCTAGTAGAAAGCTAATTCGCCACTCTACTCTCTGCCTCAATGCCTCCTCAGCTTCTAAGTAAGCTTGTGGCTCTGCTGAATTTACAAAGCTGTTGGTATTTGCAAAATGTTTTTCATTTCTTTTTTAAACTTAGAGCTTACTTTAAAGAATATGATTCTTGTGGTAAACAGAATCAGCTGGATTGCAGTAATACTATGAGAAGATGGAGATACTGATAGAGAAAATAGCACAATCAGGAAATGTAGACAAGTATGATGAATATGCTAATGACATTTTGAGAGGTTTTGGTTGAGGTCGATTTGCTTCTTAAAGTCATTATTATAAATATATTTTAGAATATAATCCTAAAATAATAGTACACAATTTTTTACTTAGCATCTAACTGATAGCTACACATTGAGTACACAATTCATATTGAACTGAACGTTTAGAGATGGCATTTCTTACACATCTTCCATGATCTTTTCTTCTTTAAAAAAAAAATGAACTTTTTTTTTCTGCCAGAATTCTTCAAAAAATAGATAGAAGAACAAGATTGGGTCTAGTTTAAAATATTGACTATCAATAAAATGCATAACTTCCATTAGCATATATATTAACAGCTACATACACTATGTTAGGACTTGCACTTCCAATATAGTGTTTTATTAATTTTCCTGCTGCTCCTTTTCTCCGTGTACATCATGTTGACTCAAATGAAATGAAACTATTAAATAGTACATTATAACTATTGCTTTGCATAAACCTATTGAATGTTTTTATCTTCCTTTTGAAAATGTAAACTTGAGATTATTAATATTTTTATTATCCAAATAAATTTAAAAAGAATATTCTGTTATATTTCCATTCTCCCTGAATAGTTCTATTGTCTGAACTTCCTTAACATTTGTTTGGCCTGGCATTTCCCTATAACATTATATATTAACATAGTAATCTGGAGACCCAGACATTTTTATCCAGCAATGCAATATAGAGCCTTTCAACTTCAACCAAACTAAAACATTTAACGAGAACCTAAGTCTCGCACCCCAGCTCTTTTTTTTTTTTTTTTTTTTTTTTTAAGAATATGGTGGTGACAATACCAGACCTTACCATTTTAATTCTACCACGTGTAGATTTAATTTTTAACAAAACATTACGTAGAATATTAAGAAGGACAAAACATATTTGGCTTTAGAGAGTTTGCAGCATAGGCAGTTGTGAAAATATACAAGTAATTGGACATAGAAAATAAATATAGCTACAGGATTAATACATTCTTTTCTCTTCCCTACTAAGAACTTCTACGGAAATTCCACCAGGAGGCAGCAGAAGAGCGGGTTTCTCCCACCTCCCCCCGGACGCCGGAGACACGGCGGAGCCTGATGTCCCTCAGAGCTTTAATCTTCCCCTCAGTCGCCTTTCCCCTCACCCGCCTCTAATTAAGTCAGAAAGGCCCTGTATTTATTTGCCCATGAACTGACACAGCAAACCAACAGCAGCCATTGTAGTGTGAATGGATTTGCGACCAGGCAAGGGGCTTCAGCCGGGATTACCCGCCCCGCAGCCGGATGAATGTGCTGAGCACAAAGTCTGCTCAAAGCCGAGCAAACGGACTATTTGTGAAAATGCCATCCTGGCTCAAGTCTGATTAAGACCGGGGGTCCCCAGGCCGTTTGATCTTCGCTCATCAAAGAGAGTCTTTAAACAAGCTTCATTTTACACTACTGTATGCTAGCGACGGGTTGTGACACCCAAGTGCAGCCACCGTGAGCAGCCGGCACTGGGAGCGCGTGAACAATGGAGATTCGCCGCGCCGCCTGGTGCAGGGCGCGGGGCGCCGGGCCTGAGCGCTGGGAAACGCGCCCGCGCTGGAGGCAGGGCCTTTGCGGAAAGACTCAGGTTTGGGAGCCCATAGGTCTGCCCGAGAGGTATCCCGACGTGCCTCCTGCCAAGGACTCCTAGACTTCTCTGAAAATGATTTAATTTGTTCAACTTAAGGGTGATGAAGAATCGTCACACGAGTTAATTATACATCCCTCCTCCTCTTCCCCGCCAAAAGTTAATAGTTCCATTTAATAGCCTACATCTTCCACTCTTTAGTATTTCTAAGAGTGGGTGTCAAGACTCAAGTGTTTTTTAAGGTCCTACTTTCTACTTTTCACCTTAAGGGCCTTTACAATTCACTAGTTGGAGAATTAGTGATAGCCGAAAACATCAGCTTTAAATATTACAACCAATTTTGTGATGGGAAAACAACCTCTATCTCTACACACACACACACACACAAACACACACACATTTTTTAGAAAGTCGCTTGGTTCAAGTAATTCACGTTATTTCCAGGCACTTAATACTTACATGCCAGTCTCTTCAAAATCGACATGCTTAGTATCGATGTCAATGATTATTACTTGATCTTTAGGCTGCATAAAAGAACAGATTCCTTGCAGGATGTGCTTATTTAACCTGAGGGAAAAAAAAAAAAAAAAAAAAGCCTTCTCTTGGCAGTGCTGAAAGAAAAAGAAAAGAGAGAGAGGAAGAGAGAGAGACTTTTGTAGTGAAAAGGAACCTCTCCATCTCCCCTTCATCCCATTTTATAAAGAAAAGCCAGCACCACACCAAGAGTTAAGTGGCTTTCCCATATTTAGGAGCCAGATTATGGCTGGCACCCTATACAGAGTACCATCCCCAGCCTTCTGACTCCTTGGCACGATGCCTTTCTTGGCCATACCCTGGGAGAAGAGCTGTCTTATAAAGGAGGTAATAATAGGAACCCAATGACATGGAAGAAAACTGTTTTTCTCTAGATGCGGAGACTGTTTCATGGGATTCTACATCCTGCTTTCTGCAAACTCTGGCCTATCCTTAGGGTTGGAGATGTTAAATCCTTTAGGGGACTCAAAGAGGACATTGCACTCCCTATACCCACCACCACAGACCTTTCTGAGTGTCAGGACCTCAGAAAAGATGCAGGCAGATATCTATCTGGTTTAGCCACTATCTTCACTGTGTTTTAGTCAAATGTTTCTGGGTTCCGGGCTCTACTTTCAGATTAACTTTTAATGTCCTGCTCCAGTAAAACACATCTTCTGAGCTTGATTAGAAAGCTACAACGGAGCCTGATTTATCTGGGCTGACCATCTCCACCGCTCAAATCAACATAATCACGGTCCAATCTTGCCTTCTGTTTGTACTGGGGAGTGCAGAAAATCCAGCTCTCAGGGGAGTCATAACGGACCAGGTCTAAAAGTTCTTTTAACATCACGAAGAACATTAAGACTAAACTGTTTTAAAAGTCAATGAGAAAGTCGTATCACTTTTTTCACAAAACATCAGGGATGAGGAATCCCTACTATATTCAAGATTGACACTAACAAAAATGTTAGCAACACACACCGTAAGGAATGATATTTATGCAGTATTTTCCTAGCAAAGTAAAAGTGTATGGCAACAAATCTGCTTCTTTTGATTTAATCAAGAGAAAGAAAGAAAGAAGTAAGGTAGGAAAGGAGGGAGAGAGAAAAGAAAAGAGGAAAGGAGGGAATTAAAAATACAGCAGTAGACTGGGCGCTGTGGCTCATGCCTGTAATCCCAGCAGTTTGGGAGGCCAAGGTGGGAGGATCACTTGAGCCCAAGAGTTTGAGACCGGCTCTGCCTGGCAACACAGTGAGACACTGTTTCTACAAAAAAATTTAAAAATTAGCCAGATGTGGTGGCATGAAGCTGTAGTCCCAGCTACTGGGGGGTGAGGTGGGAGAACCACTTGAGCCTGGGAGGTCAAGGCTGCAGTTAGCCATGATTGCACCACTACGCTCCAGCCTGAGCGACAGAATGAGACCCTGTCTCAAAAAATATATAAAAATGTATTAATTTTTTTAAAAAAATCAACAGTCACAAATAACAGAGATGGAAAAATAGTGAATAGCATGATGTGTTTTGGAGTATATTTGTCTGTCTCCTTCATGGATGAAAAGGTTGAGAAATATTCTATGTGTGGCATCCAGCACTTAAAATATAAAGAAGACATGTATTATTATGCTGTTCCTGAGTTATGAGAGTCAATTCCACACTGATAAGCGTATTTCACCTATTTAAAAATATAATATAAAATATTAAACTTGTTACATTAATTATCATCATATTTATACCAGATTGAATAGGAGGCAGGGTTCCCTACAGGACTAAATAAACTCAGTTTAATAAACTAAATTCACCTACCCTGGCTCACACCTCCTCTGTCACCCAGCTGTAAGAGAGACTCAGACAATCACCAGAACCTTCTCTCCTTCCTGAGGCGTGTTGGTCACAGTTCCTGCACCTTTTTCTTGCTTCTCCATGACCTAGTATCTGGCAAAATATAATCGATGGTGGAAAAATTTTTACCCCCAGCCCCATATAAATATATTGTATTTCCCCAACTACTCACAGACTGAAAGCTTTCTGAGGACAAGAAGCCTGCCTTTCATATTGTGAGATATGCTCCCAATAACGGGTATACGCCGAATATTAACTGGCTGCTGATGGAACAATGAGTTTTACTGTACCTCTTTATCTACCTTGCACTCTTGTTGCCAGTGAGCAAACCACATCCTGGAAAGGATTTTCAAATGGAGAAAAAGCACTGAAAAAGTAAATTTCCTCATTTGGAACAAAGGTATGATTTACTATGTACTTAGCCCTCTCTGAGGACCACCCATGTAATTTCTCCACTGAATAATTTGTGAGGTTACCTCTCCTCTGCCCACTAAATGATTTGAAGGTAGATTATATGAGAACTCATCTTTTACCACACAATATCATGTATAATGCTTAGCACAAAGTAGGAACTCAGATATTGGCCAAATCATTATTCGTTTTAAACTCATGATAACTTCAGGAGCAAAGTGAAAGATGAGGAAGAAGGTAGAAGCTAGCCCACTCTTGAACTTCTATGCTTGGTTTAGCTCTCCTGACTCAATATCACAGATTCTGTCCAGACTCAGTGAATATTGAAACATAATAGACATATGATTTGTTTTCAGAGATCAAGGTTGAATTTATGCAACAAACTTCTTTGTTATAACAGAATTTTCCCTTTGTTGATTAAATTGTTCCACTTTCTTCTCTTTTGCCCCAGGCAATGAATTTTTTTGTGAAACCAAACTTTTAATGAACCAACTTCATCAAATGTACTAATCACATACTATCTCTTCAGAAAAAAAGGCAAGAGATTGACCTTTAATGTGGCACAAATGTATTTCTAGATTCTAAATATTTAAACGGGGTAATAGCACTAAAAAGAAACATTTCCAACCTTCTGATTGGCAGGCGGATTTTTCTCCACATTTCAACTTCATTCAAACTTAACACAGCTTACAGATTTCCTAGTACAGTGAAGGTGCTTAACGCATCGATTCCTGACAGGATAATTTCCTGGGCAGATGGAATTTGGGATGGGAGGAACACTAGTCTAACTAGGGTACCATTCAATAATGATTTAGATGATGTTCTTAATATAACCTTTGAAACTGAAGGAGCTAGAACACAGACCATGGTAAATTGTGTTTTAATTACTCCTTACCCCACTAAACTTTAGGATTTTATTACTTTAAGATTGTCACTGGCTTTACTTGGTGGTGGCCCCAGTTCTGACTACGGTAGGTCAGTCAACATGTGGAGTCATTATAGACAGCCTAAATCTATACAGCTTAGAGGAGCACAAAATAAATACATCTTACTCTTTATTAATTCAATAGTGGTTATCCAGTCATCTCTCCCTTTTCGAAACTCACAAAACAGTTGTCTATTTTCTGACACTTACAATATCAATCTGTTTCTAAAAGAATTATGTACATTTTATATTTATTACTATAATTTTATTGTTACTACATCTTTTATTATTACTGTAATTAGAATAAAGAGAACTTTATTCTTTAAAATGAGACCTGTGTCTCATAAATATTTGTATTCCTTGTGCCCCTCCCCCACCACCCATCTCACCAAAAAATTTAAAAAATAGAAATAAGGCAACAACCCAGAGGGCAGCCCAATGCCAGGGCTCTAGGCTTCCAATAAGTTTTTGTTGAATTAAATAGATCATTTCCCATTTATAAGCATGACACCATTCTTATACACCAGCTTTACTTTATTATAGCTACACACCAATTTCAATGACGTCAAATTCTCTTTCTAATTCACTTCCAGCTCTTCTACTCCTCAAGGTAGTTTCATATCTCCCTAGAAGGGGTATTGCGTGGTCCCGTGCAAGGTATGACTTGGGAGCAAACCCTGCGTTCGGAAGCGTTGCGATATGATATACTAATGAGGAAGTCAGGCGCTAAGCCCTAAGGGTTTCTATTGCCCCGCATTAGCCCACCACTGAGAAGGAAGAACGGGGAAAGGCGACTGACCCGGTACGTTGGACCCTGTCCGCTTTGGCCCCGGCCACTTTGATCTCAGGCGTCTGCCTAATCAAGTTCATCTACTGCCGCGATTGCCCTGATTCAAAGAACATTAAATGGTTTGATTATCGGACGGTCATTTCCCTCTTTCCTCCAGCCCTGATCTAATTTCTAAACGCCAGTCTCTCGCCTCCCTCTCTAAACTTCCCATCAAAAGAGAATTAGCTCTTCTTCCTTCTTACCCTCGTTTGATGTGCAAATTTCCTTCTCTTTGCACATTTTTCTCGCAGTGGCGGCGGGGAGAGGGGGAGGAGGGCAACTGAACGACCTTAAAGCCAGGGATCTAACTCAGATCTGCAAACCGCGACTCTGAAGGGTTAATGAGCAACTTGCACCCGCCACCTGGCCCTCTCAGAGGCGTCTTGCTAGAGCCATTGAATTACAGATCGGTTTGTATTTAATACTGAATATGACTTGTGCGCACAGTCTGCGAGTATTGGCGTAAGGGAGAGGTGCAAAAAGTGCTTTTGCAGAGCGTATCACCCCTCGGCTCTGAAAAGTATTTCAGATCTGGATAATTCAACCCCTACTGCCAGGCAAGGGCGCCCAAGTTCCCAGAGTTCCTCCTGCCGCCTGCATTTATTAAAGTCGTCTGCTATAATGCTCGCTGCTAGCCGTCACCCCGAAGGTGAGCCGGGCCAGCCGAGCGACCAAGCAAGGGAGGAGCAGGGTGAAGAGTGTCAAAGGCCCCCCTTCATGTACACAAACACACCCCCTCCCAGCCCCTCCCAGCGCTTTGAAATCCCATCCTGGCTTTGTTGTCTCCCTCCCAAGGGGCCGGAATGCTCCGGGCCCGCGGTATAAAGGCAGCCGCGGTGGCGGTGGCGGCACAGAGCTCTGTGCTCCCTGCAGTCAGGACTCCGGGACCGCAGGGGGATCCCAGACCCTGACTGTGCAACCGCACCGGCACGGTTTCGTGGGGACCCAGGCTTGCAAAGTGACGGTCATTTTCTCTTTCTTTCTCCTTCTTGAGTCCTTCTGAGATGATGGCTCTGGGCGCAGCAGGAGCTGCCCGGGTCTTGGTCGCGCTGGTAGCGGCGGCTCTTGGCGGCCACCCTCTGCTGGGAGTGAGCGCCACCTTGAACTCGGTTCTCAATTCCAACGCTATCAAGAACCTGCCCCCACCGCTGGGCGGCGCTGCGGGGCAGCCAGGCTCTGCAGTCAGCGCCGCGCCAGGAATTCTGTACCCGGGCGGGAATAAGTACCAGACCATTGACAACTACCAGGTGAGAGGGGTCGGGCAGTCCGAGGATGCTCTGACCTTGAAAGGGTCCTATTTGGAGAGGAGGGAGTAGAACGTGCTGAGTGTGTGCGGTTCAGGGAGCATTTGGCAACCCTGCAATTGGGAGCAGTGGGCGGTAGCAGGTTTTGGAGAGGTAGACAGATAGGGACTGTGATCAGCGCCCGGGTCCAAGAGGGCGGGTACCTGGACTTCTGGATGCCTCACCCTCTCCCCGAACCTTTCCCACAGCCGTACCCGTGCGCAGAGGATGAGGAGTGCGGCACTGATGAGTACTGCGCTAGTCCCACCCGCGGAGGGGACGCGGGCGTGCAAATCTGTCTCGCCTGCAGGAAGCGCCGAAAACGCTGCATGCGTCACGCTATGTGCTGCCCCGGGAATTACTGCAAAAATGGTGAGTCCTGAAAGCTCCCTTCACACTAAAACTGTCCAGCCTTTGAGCGTTTACGAATGGGGGGAAAAAACTCCACCTTCAGAATTCTGCGGCGCCACCTGCAAATGGGTCTTCAGCATGCAGGATTCCGCTGAAGCATCTTCATTTCAAGTGTTTAATCAGGAAGAAGAGAGAAGTTCGGAGGTCTCTGAGGTCCTTATCTTCCTCCGTGGCCCTCAATGATTCAATGCAACGGCTCACCTCGTAGTGGACCCTTCCATAAAAATTTGTCTAGGAGAACCTTGAGGTCAATTGAGAAGGGAGATGATGGGGAGGACGATGGGATTATATAGAGACCAAAGAAACCAGCTTTGGCGTTCTGCTGCCCTTTTCATTTTTCTTACTGTGACTCTCACAGCTTTGCCAGATTGGCCTCTCCTTCTGATTTTTGCTGCAACTGTTGTCAGCCAGAGGACAGTGATTTATCTGCATGGGCGATTTTTAAGAGAGATCTTGATACCCTCACAACCTGACCTCTCCATCCTTCCCCCTCCCTCTACCCTCTGCTGCCTTAATATAAGTACGCCCCCCGCAACCACAGACCCACTAACTTTTAATTTTTCAAAAGGTGGATTTAGACAGCTAAAGAGGTCTCCAGAAATAAGCTAACAGGGTGACGACCCTCCTTAGGACCCAGCAGTACTCCAGGATGAACTAAGTAAATCTCTGTAATATGGAAATTACACAGTAAAGTAACTGGTGGGTGAGATTGCAATGTTCCAGGCAGCTGGAATTGCATTTGCTTAACTTAGTCTGGCAGGACCCATATAGCACCAGGGGCAGAGAAGTTATTTTTAAGAACATTTTTAAAAGCGACTGATTTTCTTTTTCTTACCCCAAAGGTAATATTAAAATGGGCAGAAATCTCACTTGCCCCTACCACAGTTGGTGGGAAAGTATTTTAAATGGCTATACTAGGGATATTACATATGACTGACTGTATACAGTATACACATTTGTGCTTCGGTCCATCTAGAGAGTTTTGTATTAACAGTAAAGAGGTTTAAAATGATGTCACTGCAATGAAGTATCTCAAGTTGGTGCTGGCATGACAGACTGCCACTGTCACAGCTGTCAGCAGTAATGCATTACAACCCTGAAGTTAATCACTATTTCCTGCTTCCTTAGGAATATGTGTGTCTTCTGATCAAAATAATTTCCGAGGGGAAATTGAGGAAACCATTACTGAAAGTTTTGGTAATGATCATAGCACTTTGGATGGGTATTCCAGAAGAACAACATTGTCTTCAAAAATGTATCACACCAAAGGTAAGGATGTCAAGACTCATTCTTAGCACATCAAAAATGTCTTTTGAATTATTTTACTGAAATGATGCAAGTTTAACAGTAACTATGTACTTTTTTCCTGCTGTCTTCTTCATAGGACAAGAAGGTTCTGTGTGTCTCCGGTCATCAGACTGTGCCACAGGATTGTGTTGTGCTAGACACTTCTGGTCCAAGATCTGTAAACCTGTCCTCAAAGAAGGTCAAGTGTGTACCAAGCATAGGAGAAAAGGCTCTCATGGGCTAGAAATATTCCAGCGTTGTTACTGCGGAGAAGGTCTGTCTTGCCGGATACAGAAAGATCACCATCAAGCCAGTAATTCTTCTAGGCTTCACACTTGTCAGAGACACTAAACCAGCTATCCAAATGCAGTGGACTCCTTTTATATAATAGATGCTATGAAAACCTTTTATGACCTTCATCAACTCAATCCTGAGGATATACAAGTTCTGTGGTTTCAGTTAAGCATTCCAATAACACCTTCCAAAAACCTGGAGTGTAAGAGCTTTGTTTCTTTATGGAACTCCCTTGTGATTGCAGTAAATTACTGTATTGTAAATTCTCAGTGTGGCACTTACCTGTAAATGCAACAGAACTTTTAATTATTTTTCTAAAGGTGCTGCACTGCCTATTATTCCTCTTGTTATGTAAATTTTTGTACACATTGATTGTTATCTTGACTGACAAATATTCTATATTGAATTGAAGTAAATCATTTCAGCTTATAGTTCTTAAAAGCATAACCCTTTACCCCTTTTAATTCTGGAGTCTAGAATGCAAGGATCTCTTGGAATGACAAATGATAGGTATCTAAAATTTACATGAAAATACTAGCTTATTTTCTGAAATATACTCTCTTAATGCTTAAATTATATTTCTCTTTAGGCTGTGATAGTTTTTGAAATAAAATTTAACATGTAATATCATGAAATGTTATAAGTAGACATGCATTTTGGGATTGTGATCTTAGAGGTTTGTGTGTGTGTACGTATGTGTGTGTTCTACAGGAACAGACGTGTGACATGGTTAAAGATGATCAGAGAAAAGACAGTGTCTAAATATAAGACAATATTGATCAGTTCTAGAATAACTTTAAAGAAAGACGTATTCTGCATTGATAAACCCAAATGGTCATGGCAGAATGAGAGTGAATCTTACATTACTACTTTCAAAAATAGTTTCCAATAAATTAATAATACCTACCTAAATGGTCAATATTTTTTGGACAAGGAAGAAAATCATCCGCAAAAATAATACTCCAAAGTACTTGGTGATTGGCAGGAACAGGAGGTGTGCCCATAAATACAGTTAACAAATACATGCAGATTTTGTACCCAACAAAATAATTTGCAGTATCTTAATTACTACTACATGCAAAGCAGACTTGTTCTAATTATTTTGGTTTTAAAATAATTATTCATTAAAAATCACAAATCCTTCCTCATTCCACTCTTTTTTCTCTTGCTCGGTGAGTTTAATATTTCAAATTTTGTTTAACCTGAAATCTATTGATTGGAATGAGGATAGGAATACAGTATTTTAAAGAAAACCCACAGGAATGAAATCTAAATTTTCTTTGCATTTTTACTTGCCAGATTTCATATTATTCATACTGAGGAAAAGGGAAAGAAAACTTCCCAATTTACACTTTTTTTGTAGTATTCTAAAGTCTGCACCCAAACCACAAAATGCTGCGTTTTGGGCCTGCAAAGGATAGTAGTGACTAATCAATCAATCGTGCAAATATTTCCTTAAATAATGCAGATGTACTAGACCGTTTGTTGTTTTTGTGTTCCTGGAAGTCGTTCAATTTCAAGGGGCTCAACCAATGGGACACAAGCTTTGGGTGGTTCTTCACTGAAAGAGGAACTGGCAGGATGTCTGCTGTTACATTCCTTTTGTCTGGAAGTCTCAGCTTCCTCACCCAGGAGAAACTTTCTTTTTCTACATTCGCTTGTTTTCTGAAGTGCCAGAAAGGCCAATTCTAAGGCCTGCCACGTCCAATAAAGCACAATAAAGGAAAGGAAACAGGAAACTTTTTCTTCAAAAAGAAGAAAGAGAGCATTCTGCTTAAATGGGGAAAGAAGCAAACTTTTAAAGGGCTCTGGTTATTGGATCCTTTCCTTTCTACAGGAACAGACCTCAGTACATTGACCCTAGTGATAGCCTTTCTTGCTTCTCATCTCCAGATGAGAAGATGTGTGGAAGAATACAAAACCAACCAAAGACGGACGCCTTTTCTTCCTATCCAGCTGAGAAATTAGGAAGGCTTTCCATTAAAAAGAATTCTTCATATGTGTAAAGGTGAAAAATACCAAAAAAAATTGTAGATTTTTATTAGCTAGTAATAGAGGCTAGAAGATGGAAATCAGATAAAATACAAATTCAAAAGAGGACTATTTAAGGAATCTAGAACAATTTGAGTAATGATTGTTTAAAATGTCTGTTGTTGCTGTGTGACTTTTAAACAATGTATTTTAATGGAAAATACATGCACCTGGGAAAATTTCACAAGGTATTTTATCTAATGTTAGTATACTCTACACACTGTCCTGCATGTTGCTTTTTTTACTCTATGTATCTTGTAGATCATTTTATATAATACATAGAGAGGTGACTCATTCTTTTTAAAGGTTACATTAAGTTTGTAGTATGTTGGAATGGCAATACTACAATCATTTTAACCAGTGACGTTTAAGTTGTTTTGAGAGTTTTTGATCTAACAAATAATGTGTCATGAGTATAGAATTTTCATGTTCATGTCCTAGTATAGTTATAGGATGACTAATATTTGAAGCAAAGTCCAAAATGCATGCTTTCTGTAGCTACTAATAAAGTCTGGTATGAGCAAAATGTCCAGATGCCTGCTTATCACTGACCAAGTGATGATTAAGCTGTTGCTAAACTGTATCAAAGAAGAAAATGGGAAATACAGGCTTATCCTAAAATTTCACAGTGAACAGTAATCTCTGGCATTCAGTTAAAGCTAGACTTGTTCTAATTACTTTGATTTTGAAATTATTACTAAATACAATCACAAGCCTTTTCTCACCACTCCCTTTCCTTGTTTTGCTAGAAGAGTTGAATATTTAAAACTTTGTCTAATCTATTGATAGGAATGAGCTTGGCCCTTCATTTTTAAATTGGTGACATTATCAAACTTTATCATGTTATCAACTTTCTTTTATAGTCTTAAAGAAAAAAAGACAATACTACCATTAGGCTTATAAAGTGTCTTCCATTGAGTTCTGTGACTGCAATTTTCATACCTTCTAAGACACTATTCTGAGGGCAATGTTGAATTATAAAAGAAATACCTTATCTTTATATTAAAGAAGAAGAAAATACTCTCATAATTTAAGCTTTTGATATTTGTACAAAAGTGTGGGTACGTATGTGGTCCTTTATATATTGAGTGTAAGGTGGACAGCTTAGAAATGGTCAATCACATCAAAAATCTAGGACTACTATCTAAGTAATGCTAAGAAATTTTAATTCAATATACATGTATTTAGTCTGCCATGTCCAGTGGGCACTATGCTAGCATTTGAAAAGATGCATATAATATTGGTCTTTAACTTCAAAGAACTTACTGTTTAGCAAGGGAGACGATGAGCATTAGTGCTGGAAGTTGATTTAGTTTAGTGGTTAGAAACAGTCTCTAGAACGGGATAGATTTGGGATTGAGTCATGGCTCCCTCAGTAATGTAGATGTGAGAGTAATGCATGCATCAGAATACTATTATGTCTAGCTCAATGTAGTCACTCAATTTTAGGTCTTTGCTATTGGACAATGAAATATATATATTATGTGGTATTATCTTACATACATTAATACCTGACAACAGATTAAAATTAATTAAATCAGTCTGTAACTACTCAGAAAAAGCTTCAGAGAAGAGGTGGTATTTGAACCATCACCTTCTCTCGCCCTTTTATTTCAAGGAAGAAAAAGCACTTAAACTAGAAAAAGCAAATAGGAGACATGAGTTGATACCACTCATAAAAATCAGGATGGAAAGCATTCTGCAGACTCACTTATGATTTATGTTCCATTGTAATTTGTAATGTCTACCACTTGCCACGGGGACAAGCAAAATTCTATCCCCAATATATGTGATCATGAAGTGCAGTTCTGCTCAGTAAATTGCTTAGCCTTTTAGAGACTCTACTCCAAAATCTTGAGTGAGGGTTCTGATTAGTTTATCTTTAATCAGGGGTTCACCTCTGGTTCAATTGTCTAGCATGGCTACCCAGTTCCCAATATAAACACAGCTGTCTATATCCATTCTGCCTGTAATAGAAACTATAGTAGTTCTAAAAGAGGAATGTGTAGGGACAAATCCCACATCTCATGTCTATCACAAATTAGTTTTGAAGGATGAGAAGGCATTTACAAGGTAGAAAAGATGAGAAAGAGTTTCCTTCCTATTGGAGACAGAGGAAGAAGTGTGAGCAAACTTATGGAGTCATAAAAATAAAGATACACAATATATTGAGAAAATAAGTAATATTCCACTGTGGCTAGATTTGGGGGTAGCTAAGAAGAGGACTTTTCTGATTTTTGGTTATGTAATTTGTTATCCAGAAAAAATAGACTACTACAATTTTTTATTTTCAGCAACAGCTATTGTGTTAGGTGGCAATGAAATTGAAGAGGATATATTTGAGACACATTTTATTTCAAAATATTATAGATGTCAAAAACTATAGTGATTTTTTGCCAAAAAATTACACAATAAGAATATTGTTTTGTGTCCGGCAATAGTTGTCACATTAGATTTCAATTAAAGTAAATAATACAAATAATACATTACAAATAATGTAAATAATAGCTTTCACAAACATTGTGGATTTTTTTGCCAAAAATTTATAAATCCTAATAATATGACATAGACCTTAAATATTAGTATATGAAAAATTACCTTGGAAGGGCAATGATAACCAATACCCTGCTGTTTTAAGCTGTTGAATAAATTCTATAGTAAAAAGCAAAATTGGCAGAAGGCATGAAACGTGGCTTATCTTGATAAATTCATAATACATTTTTTAATATTTCACAATCTTTCTCCGGATGAGCAAAAAAATACTTTTAAAAAGCATCCTATATAGAAACTATTCACATATCTGTGATACTCCGAAGTTCAAATTAAAAGCAAAAAATGATAGAGGCATATCTTGTTATATTGTGCTTCTCTTGATTTTTTTTAATGTAAATTGAAGGTTGGTGGCAACCTCGCATTGTGCAAGTCCATTGGTGTCATTTTTTCCCACATCATGTGATCACTTCATGTTTCCATGTCACATTTTAGAAACTTTGTCATTATTATATCTATTATGGTGATCTACAATCAATAACTTTAATGTTACAATTGTAATTGTTTTGGGATACTATGAGTTGTGCCCATGTAAGACAGCAAACATAACTGACAAATGTATGTGCTCTGACTGTTCCACTGACAAGCCATTTTCCCATCTCTCTCCCTCTCCTCATGCCTTCCGAGTCCCCGAGACACAACAATATTAAAATTAACCAATTAATAACCCTACAATGGCCTTTAAGTGTTTAAGTGAAAGAAAGAGGTACACATCTCTCGCTGTAATGAGGAAGGCACGGGAAAGCTGAAATAGGCCGGAAGCTAAGCCTCTTGGGCCAAACAGCCAAATTGTGAATACGAAAGAAAACTATTCGAAGGAAATTAAAATACTACTCTAGTGAGCACACAAGTGATAAGGAAGTACAACACCCTTGTTGCTGATATGGAGAAAGTTTGAGTGATCTGAATAGAAGATTCAACCAGTCACAACATTTCCTTAAGCCAAAGCCCAATCTGGAGGAAGGCTCTAGCTCTTTTCAATTCTATGAAGGCTGAGAGAAGTGAGGAAGCTGGAGAGGAAAAGTTGGATGCTAACAGAGGTTGGTTTGTGATCTTCAGGGAAAGAAGCTCTCTCCATAACACAAAAGTGCAAGGCAAAGCAGCAAGTTATCCAGAAGAACAGCTAAGATCATTGGTTAAGGTGACTACACTAAACAACAGATTTCCAGTGTACATGCAACAGCTTTCTGTTGGAAGAAGATGCCATCTATGACTTTTATATGCAGAGAAAAGAAGACAATTCTTGGTTTCAAAGCTTCAAAAGACAAGCTAATTTTCTTGTTAGGGGCTAAAGGAGCTGACGACTTTAAATGAAAGCCAATGATAATTTACCATTATACAAATCCTAGGGTCCTTAAGAATTATACTAAATCTGCTCTACCTGTGCAATATAAATGGATGGAAAAGCAACGTAAAGCCTGGATGACAGCACACCTGTTCACAGGATGGTTACTGAATATTTTAAGCCCACTGTTGAGAGTTACTGCTCAGAAAAAAAATTCTTTTAAAATGTGACTGCTCATTGACGATGCATCTAGTCACCCAAGAGCTCTGATAAGGATGTACAAGGAGGTTAATGTTTTCAAGCTTGTTAACACAACATCCATTCTATAGTCCATGAACTAAGGTATAAATTTTGACTTTCAAGTCTTATCATTTTAGAAATACATTTTATAAGGCTATAGTTATCATAGTTAGTTATTGCTCTGATGGATTTGGGCCAAGTAAATTAACCTGGAAAGAATTCGCCATTGTAGATGCCATTAAGAACATTCATGATTCATGGGAGAAGGTCAAAATATCAACATTAACTGGAATTTGGAAAAAGTTGTTTCCAACCTTCATAAATGGCTTCGAGGGATTCATTCAAGACTTCAGTGGAGGAAATCACTGCAGATGTGGTGGAAATAGCAAGAGAATCAGAATTAGAAATGGAGCCTGAAGAAGTGACTGAATTACTGCAATCTTATGATCAAAGGTGAATGGATCAGGAGTTGGTGCTTACAGATGAGCAAAGAAAGTGCTCCTTTGAGATAGAATGTACCCCTGGTGAAGATGCTGTGAATATTGTTGACATGACAATGAAAGACTTAGAATGTTACATAGATTTAGTTGATAAACAAAGGC